TTGCATGGTTTAGAACCTGCACGAAACTCTGTGCCCCACCTGCTGCCTCCGCTCAGCCGGCTCCAGCCTCCTGTTTGTCCCTTGTGCCCTCCGTTCCACCATCGGTGGCCGTGCCTTCAGCCACTGTACCCTGAAACTCTGGAACTCTGTCCCTTAATCCCTCCATCTTGCCTCCTCCCTCCCAACCTTCAAATCCCACCTAAAGACCTTCCTTTTTGATGGTGCTTAGTCTCCTCCTCTCTCCACCATCTCAGTCTTGGTCAGACTATCAAGCGCTCTGGGACGCTACCCCATGTGAAGGGCACTATATAAATGCAAGTTGTTGTTGTCAACAACTGAAGCGTTACTTTCCTTTCTCCATAGATGCTTCCCCACCTGCTGAGTGTTCCCAGCGACTTCTGTTTTTATTTGTAATTTATCATTGTTGAGTTTGTGAGGCCAGAAGTTTTGATCTGTTTTTCCTGTGTTTGTGGTGCTTGCCAGTGACATGAGAAGTTGCCAGATCCACGAGGATGATCCAGGCTGACCTTCACTATGAAGGGTTTCTAACTGAGATGCAATTGCTCCAGCTTTATTGAATGCTAATCCATCTGGAATACTGGGAATCAGTGCGTGCTATTAATAACACTCAGCGTAAGAGTTACAAAGTCAATATATATTATTTAATAACATGAATCACTGTAAAGAACACGTCAGCAAGCCTCTAATAGTACAAATTGTGGATCAAAGCTCTCTGCCTCCACCTAACAGGTAATGACACATGGAGGGCAAACATCTGAAAGACCTGAATGTACATTCGTTCCCAGTTATATAAAACAAAATAGCACCACAGGATCTTTAAAGTCGACCAGTACCAGCAAATAACACCTTGGTTTAACGTAACATCAGAAGGATATGAGCAGACAGATCAAATCCATGTCACATTAGTGCTCCCCATCGGGTTACGGTTCCCCCTCAATACGGGCTCCTGTGGGGTGTTGATTGGGAAACGCTGAGGTTTTCAAAATTTGAAAGGGTAAACAAGGGATTTGATAAGGTGAACAAGGAGAAACTATTTCCACTGGCGGGTTGGTCAATAACCCGAGGATACCGACTTAAAATAGTTGTTGAAAGAAACAGAGAGGAGGTAGGAGAAATGTTTTCACACAATGAGTTGTTCGGATCTGGAATGCATTGCCTGAAAGGGTGGTGGAAGCCAATTCAATAACAGCTTTTAAGAGAATTAAATAATTATTTGGGGAGGACAAATTTGCGGGGGAGTGGGATTGATTTGGATAGGTCTTGTCACAGAGCCGGCAGACACTGTGGGCTGAATGGCCTCCTTCTGTGCTATATAATTCTATGATTCTATGAATCCAAGAGTATCAAAGTCATGTCGGGGTGAAAAACAACCCAACTAAAGCAAACAGCTTAGCTACAATTTATTGGAGCAATTATTCAGCATGTTGGGACTGAACAAACACTGAGCCGCAGAGTCCGACACTCATTACAGAAACCTGACTCGTCTCTCTCTCAGCCTCAGAACTGCTGTGCGCAATTGGCCCACAAAATATAGTCAATTCAACAATAATACCTTGCATTCATATAGCACCCTTCACGCGAAAAGGAAGGTCTTCAGTCATGATCTAAAAAAGGGAAAACAGTCGGCAAGTTGGAGGGATTTAGTCAGAGATCCAAAGCTTCACTTTACAGTATATTATGTGAAGCGCTTTGAAGTGTCTCAACGACATGATAAAGCGCGAAATCAAATGCAAGGATTATTATTATAGAACCGTTTACAATTAAGGCACAATTCAGAAGTGCGGGGCTCTAGAAAAATTCTTAAATTCAGTCTCAATCCCCTCGCCATTTCTTTCTCCCCGACGTTTTTAAAATGAACCAACCTCCGAGTTAAAGCTGAATTAATTTTTTTTCCCGATGTCTGCACAATGTTAATTTTTAAGATGATCCATGATGATGGATTGTCCTGGCCACAATCCCAAAGAGAAAGGAGTTTCTCCCTGGTGTCCTGGCCACAATCCCAGATAAAATTGGTCATTCTCTTGGTTCTCATGGTTGTTTGGGTCACATTGCTGTATACAAATTGTCTGCTGCATTCATCCAGATTCACACATCACTATACTTTACAGTAAATACTGTGAAGTGTTTCGAGACATCCTCCTGATGTGAACGACGTGTAGAAAGGTAATCTGATTGTCCAGCAAGGGTTACTGTACCCATTAGGGCTTTGGCTTCCATTGTGAACAAGAGCTGAGTAGGAAGAATCCCTGTCCCCAGTGAAGATTGAGAACCTGATGAAAGTTCACATAACTTTCAGCATCAAGCAGTCTCGATACAGGTGACACCAATTAACAGAAACATTCCTTTATTGGGAGATATTTGCTCAAACACTAATCGATATACCTGCTGCCTTTCCATCAGCACTGTCGGGAAACAATCTGATAACTGAGACAATTTAATTCTCTGCCGTGCCTGCCAATTAGTACACTTCAACCCTATGGCATGCTATCAGCTCCCAGTTACCTCGTAGCAACAACATGCCTGTCACAAAACTAGAGGCTTTTACATTGACGAGCATTTTACACCTAATGCTACATCTGAGCTGGGAACTCTGTCAGGAGCTCCAGCTACACAATTAACACCAGGACATAAAACAACATATTGATCAATTGAGAACACATTAATTACCACTGTTCTAATGCACAGGAGCATACCTTCATCAGTCCGGCTCGATTCCCAAGTGAACTTGTCAGTTCAAATAAGCTTCAGACTGCATTACGCCTCCATTCTAACCCTTTTATCGACTGGTCTGGGCTTACATTTTGGGCTTGGCTGAAGTGTGGCTTAAAACAGACTGTTAGACAGCTTTCAATTTATTAATGACAAACATAAGGGATGTCAAGATACTATTCAAACCATGATGTTTCTATCACCCATATATGATCTATGGTGGTTAAGTGACTGTGATTTCTTGTAATAATAATAAACCTAGCATTTGATCTAGCGCCTTATCACATAGTAATAAACTTATATAATAATTACATCTCAAATTATTATTATATACATTTATTACTACGTGATAAGGTGCTATGTCAGTAAGACTGATTTCTTGTAATCCTGCAAGACTCTGATTTTTGGTAATCCAGTGAGACAATGATGTTTCAAAAATTTAAGAGACTGTGATTCCTATTAATCCAGTAGACTGAATTCTGGTAATACAGCGAGACCGGTTTCAGGTAATCCAGTGACTGTGATTTCTGGTAATCTAGTGGAGACCTTCTGATTTCGCACAGAAACCATCCGGCATCCAGTAAAATTGATTTTTTGATAATCATCCATTTTCTAGTATTGTAGTTTCAGAAAATTCCCCCTCATTTTCCAATGATGCTCTGCACTAGTTTCCAACATCAAATTGCATTTATATAGCATCTTTCACCGGGTTAGGGTCTTGGAGCGTTTCATCTACTTATTATCCAATAATAATAATCCTTACATTTGGTACACAATGCACCTTTCCAGTAATGGTCTGCGCCGATTTTTAATGAGGTGTTTGTGTGTGTGTGTTGTTGCAGGGGAGTGTTCCTCATTTGGGTGTAGGTATACCACCAGTCTCAATAGTTGAGGGTTGTGAGCTGGATCTTTCTATGTTGCCGTGCAGTTTATTGGGAATTTATCTGAATTTCTCCCAATAGCTTCATGACTAGAATGTGACATAGTTCACTTACTGTCAGACCTTGATATCTGACAGCCAAGCAGTTCTGGAATCAGTGGACCTGGCAATGCATCACCTCACAAACGTGTGCAGATATCACCCAGCTGATCGAGGTACATACAATGCTGGAAACTGATTTGACATTATCACTGACCTTGGCTCAGATGAAGGCCCTTCGACCTCATCCTTCCAGAACACCATTCATACCATCCCATCACAGCATCAAGCTGTTTTTTGAATGAGTCCAGTGTTCTGGCCTCAGCCATCTCTCCCGGCAATCTGTTCCAGTCACTGATTACCAACTATGTATATTGTGAAAGTGAACATAGCCATTAACTTCTAAAATGTGGAGTCATTCCAAACTATTGCATATTAAATGATATACATGTATCTTCACTAGTGTTGCGTGTTTTTTTCTTAATGCATGTTCGGCTTAATGCATATTGTTGCCCTTCCTCCCCTCCTCACTTTGTGTCTATGTGTCATTTGTGTGGATGCTTGATGCACTGCACTGCTCTTGCCTGCGTTTAGCATTCATTGAACATTTATCTTCATCCAATGTAAACCATTTTAACACACTCTATTTCTTAGCTGGGCAGCAAATCGTAGCAGATCTTGTAAGTGCCCAAGAAAAATAGCCTTTTTAAGTGGGAGGAGCAATGGGTGAGAGAGTTGTTCAAGTAGCACAGATATTGAGGTGAACGAGAGACAGGCAATAGCAATAGTAATTTAGCTCAAGGATCTGGGTCTGTAGAATGATATAACATAAAGCATTTGATCATTCATCAGAACACCACCAGGGTCAACCGGACAAAGAGAACAGTAGAGGGCCTACGAGATATGAGTCCTGCATTCAAACTGCAGAGTCTTAACTAAAAGAGAAATTGCTGGAAAATATACATATGAAGGATAAGATTCCGCATTGTTATCATGATAATAATAATCATTGCATTTGATATAGTGCCTTATCACATTGTCACGACATCAAAGCGCTTCACATGATTTTACTGTGAATTGTAGTGACTATTTGTTGTCAACCCCATTGCTGCATGGGATGCCTTGGCAAAAATGGCCATTGAAGCCAATTACATAACATTCAAAAGGGATACAGGGGTATAGTATTATATCATACACAATGCATCCATACATAAGATGGATTGAATGACCTTCTTCTGTGCTGTATCGCTTCTATGATAATAATGATCTAGCTTTCATATGGAGTGAGTGCTTCTGCATGTCCATAGGCAACAGGAAAATTTATCACAACCCACTACAAATATTGAGGCCATTTCCTTATTGAGATGAGGGAGTTTAATGTTAAAAATAACTACAAAAATCTTTTCAGCTAGAATTTTTTAATTTAACAATAAATTGAAAATAAATCATGTGAAACAACAGCCAGTTAATATAACACTAAAACATTTTAACTTTCAAGCAAGAACCATAAAATCTGCTCTTAAATAAGTTGGAACATTAGTAAATGTCCAGGTCATTTTAGTGACCTTGGAATGTGATCAGTCATTGAAACAAGTTTGCTTCAGAAGCATGTCTGGTTGTTCCCCAGTGTCATTTTGAGTTGCTGCAACATGAGAATTCTAGATAAAGGCAGGAAGCAAAGGGTGGTGGTGGGCTAATCAGATTGGCTGTAAGAATTTAATGTGTGTGTATACATAAATTTAGAACTGCTCATCATAATGTATCTTGGATTACACAGTACTAAAAGACACAGCGAGGGTTTTACTGAATCTCTACATAAAGGGGAAAAGTGTGGTCCCTCAAGTGGAAGTAATGGATTAGTCTAATTGGCATCTTGCAAGTCATTCTTCTATTTTGATTCACTCTTGCTGAATTCAACACACCATGAAATATTTGGGACAAATCTCCCTTCTTTCAAATGAATTTCATATTTTAAGTGTAATTTTCCTTGATGTCAGGATATCCAAGTTGTTACAAGTTACTCAGGAGTGATTAATTGGTAGCAAGAAAGCCACCCCAGTAGTCTGACCAAACATGTTTAGTGTTTAAAATCATTAAGATGCCTTAACATTAGCATCCGCTTCTCTTGTGACTGTCTGATACACAGGTTAGTATTTTGCATCGATGTTCTGTGGATAATGGCTCCCTTCACCTATTGCAGAAAACAAGGATCAAGGCTAATATTCTCATGCAGAAGGAAGAGAATGGGATTTCATGTGGAAAATGTAACACGGCATATAGCATCTCATCAACTAATAAACTGCTGTGTTATTCGATAAAGTCTGAATAATAACCAAGTTAAGGGCTGAGCTTTTCCAAGGGTAGAAAATATACAGAAAATGTACCAAGGAAATACCAGACAAAACATAGCGGAAAAATATGTAGTGTACAGGAATGTATTATCTAGAAATGCTAAATTGAATTCTCATTTAACTATAGTTTAACTATAATTGCATCAAGTAAACAATGAATATTCTCACAGAAATCATTCTGGCATATCACAACTGTGCATAATTGAATGCTCCAACATTTGAAACCGGCTGACACAATATGCCTGGATAAAAAGGGAAACAAAGGGGAAAAAAAATTACTTCCTGTTAATGATACAGTATTCCTTTTGCAACATCTTTCTAGATTATTTGCTCACTAAACATAAACTTACATTTATATATCACCTTTCACAAAAAATAAATAGTCTTTAATTGATAATGTATAGTTTGAGTTGGGGTAATTTTATTTCTCCAGCTATAGAACAGAAACCCATCACCGTGTTAAGATTAAGAGTCCCATGGAAATTCCTGCATATTGAAATGAAATGTGCACTCAAGAGTATTAGCTGCAGTTTGGCAAGAGCCAAGGTTTGGAGACCCTAAATTGTGCATGGGGCACTGCTATAGTCTAACCATCTAAAACGGCATAGTTTGTAATGGCACTGTCCCGCAAACTTTCCTACTGCTTATCCAGTTAGGACCACCCGACCTGTTAGGGCTGTAGCTTGCAAGGTTATTAACAGGAGCTGTAGGGCGCTATATAAATGCAAGTTGTTGTTGTCCCAATGACTAACAACAATAATAATAAATTGGTAATTTTCAATTGATGACTGTTTGTGGGACACTGCTGTGCGCAATTGGCTGCCGCTTTCGCCCACAAATATACAGTCAATTCACTTTACAGTGTGTTCTGTGAAGCGCTTTGGGACATCCTCCCGATGTGAAAAGCGCTATATCAAATGCAAGGATTATTATTATTATTATAATGTATATTATCTATGCCACTTTGAATGCTCTTCTAATAAAAGAGGAAGATAGTTTAACATAGCGTATATCAGCATGGTCCAACTGTGTCCAAAAGCATGTGGGCACCAGCAGCCTGGCAGATGATTTTATGGGGCCCGAGACCATTTCCACCAATCCAACTTCTACTCCCTCCCAACGTCCTCCCAGGGCAAATGGCAGAAGCCGGCGGTTGGAGGAGGGGGGAGAGAGTTGGGGGAGAGAGAGGAGGGGTGAAGAGAGAGAGGAAGGGAGAAAGAGGGGGAGAGAGAGGAAGGGAGAAAGAGGGGGAGAGATAGGGGGAAGATGCTGGGAGAGAGAGAGAGGGGGGAGGGGAGAGAGAGGAGGGAAGGGGGGGAGAGAGCGTGGAGGGAAGAGGGAGTGAATGTGAGGAAGAGAAAGAAACAGAGGGGGAAGATTGAGAGAGAGTGATTGAGAGAGTTTGAGATGGTGTGTGAGAGAGAGAAGGGGGGGAAAACAGAAGGAGGGGAGGAGAGGGGGAGAGAGGAGAGGGCGTAGAGGAGAGGGGGGAGAGAGAAGAGAGGAGAGGGGGGAGACAGGAGAGGGGGGAGAGAGGAGCAGAAGAGAGAGGAGAGGGGAGGAGAGAGAAGAGGGAGGACAGAGGAGAGGGGTAGAGAGGAGAGGGGGGAGAGAGGAGGGGAGGAGAGGAGAGGGGGAGAGAGAGAGGAGGGGGGGGGGGGAGAGAGGAGAGGGGAGGAGAAAGAGGGGGAGAGAGAGGTGGGCGAGAGGAGAGGGTAAGAGAGTATAGGGGGGAGAGAGGAGAGGTGAGAGGGGAAGGTGGAGTATGAGAGGGAAGAGAGAATGTGAGAGAGAGTAATTGAGAGAGTGTGTGTGAGGTGAGAGGAGCCTGAGAAAGAGATGTGTGAGAAAGAGTGTCCTCTCCATCCCTGTGTAGATGAGATGCATAGAACTCTCAGCCAACTATGGTGATAACCATCATTTTCCAGAAATGCCAGACATCTGGCTGACCAAAAAAACCTAGGATAAAGGAGATATAGCTAATTCATGATTTCTAAAGGTATCCCAGATTCAAATAATTATATTTAATGTTGCCTCCCTATTGTAACACTTCCCTATTGCTTGGTTACCAGGGAGTAAGAGGACGCCATGCATGCCAGGCTGTGATTGTCTGTGTCATTTGCCACTTACTGGAGTTTTCCAGGGATGATGCACAAATCCTTCACAATATTTCAGCCCACCTGAATTCCCTCTCCCCCAATATCCAACTCTATTATTGTTCGTCTCCTGGAATTACAACCCCCACTGAACAAACTTTCAATAGGAAAAAGATATAAAAAGGACAAGTAAAAATCTTTGACCCATTAGCCTTTAGTAAGTTGAACGTTCGCCCACAAATATACAGTCAATTCACTTTACAGTGTGTTCTGTGAAGCGCTTTGGGACGTCCTCCTGACATGAAAAGCGCTATATCAAATGCAAGGATTATTATTATAACGTTCTGTGACTGTTGAAATATAGGTTAAAAAGTCATGATCTTAAAGCCTTCTACGGTCATGCTCCTCCCTAACTCTGTGATCCCTTAAAACCATACCAACCTGTCCGTTCCCCCATTCAGCCAGCACTGACCTGCTTGATTTTCCTTGCCCTGCCCGCTGGGCCTTCAGGTTTTTTGTCCACCACCCTCTGGAACTCCATCCCCAAATCCCTCCGCCTCTCCCCCTCCTTCGCCTTCTTCTAGGCTTGTCTCAAGGCCTTCCTCTTTGACCGTGCCTTTGGCCACACTACCCCCCCACCACCTCCCTCCTTATTACAACCCCCAGCTCAGGTGCAAATTTTTAAATGTCCAGTGCCTTAGGATGTCCATCTGATAAGCGCTATATAAATGTAATTCGTTATTTTCTTATCAGGTCCATAACAAAACCCATTTCAGGGCAAAAAAGGCTTCAGTTGGGCCAGGGAATGTACTTCACTTGGAATGTAGTACTTGTAATGTTTACATACTGTCAGTGTTTAATATTATTAAAGTTCTTACTTTTAAGATTTTTTTCACAATATAGTCTAATGGAAATTCACTTCTGAAATATTTTTAGAGGACATACACTTTGTATTTTACAGGATATTCCGTGAAGCACTTTGAGACGTCGCAAAGACGTGATAGGCTGCAGATCATCCAGAATTCTGCATCCCATGTCCTCTCCCGCACCAGGGTCTGCGACCCCATCCTTGCCCGACTCCACTGGCTTCCCATCACACAGAGGATACAGTTCAAGATCCTGGTCCTTACCTTCAAAGCTCTCCGAGGCCTTGCTCCCCCCACCTTTGCAACCTTCTAACCCCCTACCATCCTGCTCGCTCTGCTCAGTAGGCTCAGGCCGGCTTCATGTCCCCCGCTTCACCCACCCCACCATTGGCAGGCAGGCCTTCTGCCACTCTGCTCCCACACTCTGGAAATCCATCCCATAGAACCTCCGCCTTGCCCCCTCCATTGCCTCCTTGAAGACTCATCTCAAGACCTTCCTCTTCAACTATGTCTTCCATCACCCTTCTGCCCTCCACCTTCCCCAATCCCGACCCACAGCTCGGATCCGAAAAACTGATTGTCCAGCGCCTTGGGATGTCCTCCCGATGTGAAAGGCACTATACAAATTTGATTTTGTTGTTGTAAGACGCTATATCAAATGCAAGGATTATTATTATTAACATTAGAAGAACCATTTCCACACAGAACGTGTTAGTAAAAGGAATGCTGAGTCACAAGCAGCTGTTAAAGCTGAGAGATTTAAGATTAAATTAATACACGTCTGAAGAGAAGGAATATAAAAGGATGTGAGGAAAGGGAAAATAATTCAGATTACACTTGTTCGCTCAAATGCTTGATCTAACACCACTTTAATTTGGGCCAAATGGTCTACTCCTATGCAGTAATTTCTATAAGTCTATAATAGGCTGTAAAGAGACACTTTATGGAAACCTGATCCAAGTTGTTAAAATCATGAAGAGCATCAATACGACAAAATGCAAAGTTCTTCATGCTGTCTGATAATTTGGGCTGTAACCTCATCAAAAAAATTGACTACTTCCAGGATTTGGCATTTACAAATCTTTTTGTGAATCATTTTTCAACGTCACACTATAATAATAATCCTTGCATTTGATATAGCGCTTTTCACGTCGGGAGGACGTCCCAAAGCGCTTCACAGAACACACTGTAAAGTGAATTGACTGTATATTTGTGGGCGAACGCGGCAGCCAATTGCGCACAGCAATGTCCCACAAACAGTCGTAGATTGAAAATGACCAATTTATTATTGTTTTTGGTTTTGGAGGGATTATTATTAGGCTCTGTGTGGAGTAAGGAAACTTGCCCAAGGTTTCGCCCTCTGCCTGGAATTGAACTCAGGTCTCTCACTTGCAAAGCGAGTGCTCTAACCACTGAGCTACAGGACTTAAGGACTAGATATGGTTAAAGTATTCAAAACAAAATGAACGGATTCATAATTTTTATACAATTCATAATCATGTAGCTATATGATGGTAAGTCACTTTCAAACGTTCTTGAAATACTAAATAATAAATCACAATCCTTATACTGCTCAAGCAGGAGGACATTCTAGCGCTTCATAGGATATACAAAAGTGGAGTAACACTTTGTATTGTGGGTGAACATGGCAGCCAATTTGTGGAGCAGAGGAAGAATGGCGAGTAGGGCACTGAAATAAGTGTGAAGGAATGTAGTACTTGGTGAAATATCTTTTGGAAGTCCAAATATACAATAACAACAAAATGACACATTTGTATAGCGGCTTTCATGTCAGGAGGATGTCCCAAGGCTCTGGACAGTCAGAGTACTAAATTATATGGCTTCCCACAGACAATTTGGACTGTCACCTCATCAAAAAAATTGAGTACTTCCAGGATTTGGCATTTACAAATCCTTTTGTGAATCTTTTTTCAACGTCACACTTAAGGACTAGATATGGTTAAAGCATTCAAAACAAAATGAATGGATTCATAATTTTGCAGATGTGCAAAATTAAATATTTAATTGTACAAAATATGTGAACAAATATGTGCAAAATTTAAATATTTTAAATGTACTGCCATTTATTGATGCGTGCACTGCCATATTTGTATGCCTGTGCCGTTACATTTTGGTGTGGAGTATTTTTCAAATATTCTGGTACATTTTCAATTTTTGTGCAGTTTTTGGTGCAGTTTTTCAGCAGATGGAAAATATTATAATTACAGGTTACCACATTGTCCATCAAGCCTATTCTGGTGATAACATCTCCACGATGTA